GATCAGTGGGGGGGTGGAAAGATTTTTCAGTCTAAGTAAGCAAGGTCAGGAGCACAAAGTTGATAACAACTGTTACATCATCTTAAAACACAAACACTGCATTGCTTCAGATCAAGGTAAAGAAGGGCCATATATCCACATTGCACACAACTGTGAGTAGAAAAATGAGAAAGACGGAAAAAGGGAAGGAAGAATAGTCTGTATGACTCATTCTCTACCAAAACATCAAACACAGGAGTCCTCGACTGAAGACTTTAACTTATACTTGGTTACATTGCCAAAGGGACATAGAGTGGACATGGTAAGTGGTAAAAAGTCTTAACTGAATCTCCATTTTGATGCCGTCAGGCTCTGTCCAGAATCTTATTAATCACAAACCCCAAATTCAAAGACGTGTCCAGGAGTTTGGACTGAATCAAGGTTTACATCAAGTCCTAATGCGGAGGAAAGTGTTTGAGGCCATTCTGTTCTGAGATGAGCTGGATGTTTCCAAGTTAGTCAAAGCCTTCCTCGCTCATCCCTCAAAGAAAATATATAATTTGAAGCTCTGGGAAAGATTGATGGGTGGGTGAGTGAAGGTTTTTCACCAAATGCTAGAAGACCTTCATCTCTCCAGAAGTCAGCTAGTATTATTTCTGCTTACTTTTCAAATATTATTTCCCCTCGATATCATTGGACAAATATCAATTTCTTCCGCATCATGTTCAAAGCCCAAATCTCCACCTGAGGTGTAAAATGACACAGTCATCATATCTGGGATATTTCCACTGATTTTAAGTAGAGCTTTGCAGGTAAAGATACTCCAGGCATGTCAGGTACCTCAGCTACAGTGTTCACCAGTAACAGCAGCTTCTTTGGACTCAGTATGTAGAGGTTGCTAACAAAAATAAAAAGTCATCCTGCAGAATTTTTAAACACATCTTATAAATATGCAGCCTAAGACATAAGAACAGGAAGTGATGCTGATGGTGAATTTGACACAGACTAGCAGAGTGAGAGACAACACAAAGAAAGTTGTTCTAAAAAAACGTTAGACTGTGCTCCTTCTTTAAACGCTTAACTGGCCTGCTACCTATCCAATCATGTCACCTTACCCTTACAACAAAGTAAGTACAAAATGACTGCTGAAATGAGTACTCCAAGAAGTATATAGTTTAAGGCTAGTTTGAATAGAGTTTGTCACAACGGAAAATACTGAAAAAGACAAGTGATTCTAACTTCACCTGCTTATTCCCCGAAAACCTCACAGCAACGGACTCATCCGTCCACGGCCAAATTGCTTTCAAAATTGAACTCGTTATTACAATTCTCCTTTCATCTTCCACTAACTATCTCATTCAAGTCAACTTTGTGCTCTCGGTTTCTTCTTGGTTTTTCCTCCAACACTCCTCCTGCAATCACTGTGAAATTGCAAGGTAACCATTTGGGTACTCTGTTGGCTCTGAACAGAATAACTACCAAGCATTCTTGCACTTATTTCCTAATTTAAATGACTTTGTAGCTTCACACACTCACAAGTGACAATTTGAAACTCTCCTGCCTTCTGTTTCTTTTTAAAAACCTACTCACTCTCTTTGGGTTTTTTTTTTCCTCTCTTAGAAACATACAAAAGTAGAGACACAAAACACAATTCAAGTGGTGTCACTCACTGGTGAGACACAGCCAACCAGAAGCTCATGCAGTTGCATCAGAGACTTCAGTGATGCTCAGATGTGAGACAAAAAAAAAGTTGAGGCAGCAGCTGGAGAGATAGACTCAGGCTGAGATGAAGCATCACTGAGATGGACAGGGCAGTTCAAGCAATGCATCATTAAAAATGAACATCATCCATGGCTGTTACCAAGTTGCACAATGGATTACTCTGCACAGTCTCACAGTA